GTGTGTGTGTGAGAATGCACGGTACAGGGTTTCATCATGTGCTTGTCTATGCACAAACATACGTCTGCGTACTTCGAAGATCCTTCAAGTAATGAATGTTCCATCGGTGTGAGCCCACCAAGTTAGTCGTGATGTGACCTCACAGCAGCAACCGTTCAACGGTCCGTTCAACGGTAAGAGAGCAAGATGTGCAGTCCACGACGTGTGGCTGAGTAATGCGTATTCATCGGTGTGCCCTCACCTCTCTCGATACAGTGAAGGCTGTGACGTGACGCATCGCTCTAGCCTCGCTATAGATGGAGACACGCAGGCGGCCGAGGACTGTGGTACTCCCCCCACCACTATGACATATTAATTGCTTTTTTTTTGTTGTTTAGTAACATCAAGGCGATGTGACCTTGAAGTGTCTGGTGCATAGATCATTCAGAATTTTTTCATATGAGATTTTGAGTGTGTGTGTGTGTGACATAATGACATAACTACATATGGTTGATTTGTGTGTGTGTGTGTGAATGCACGGTTTAGGGTTTTATCAAGTGCTTGTCCTTGTACAAACATACGTCTGCATACTTCAAAGATCCACCAAGTAATGAATGTTCCATCGGTGTGAGCCCACCAAGTTAGTACTTTTTATATATATAAATAGAGATTTTATCGAGTGTGTATGATATAAATGAGAAATTCGTGAATACAACACTCCAAACAGGGGGGGAAACCCAACTTGGCTGCACCGCGCTGATGAGGACAATAGCCAGAAACACGTGTCCGCGGTTGCCCCCTGTTTGGTGTGTTGTATTTACGAATTTTTCATTTTTGAATCTCAAGGTCAAACAGCATATTCGATGACATATTGAACTTGTATAGATCAAGGTTGTGAGGTATCTTCCGACGTTAGACTTCAAGGTCACCAACTGTGGATAGACCCAAATCTCAAGGTCAACACCCGTGTTCGAGGTAATATCGTCTGACACGTACCTCTAGGTCATATGACGTTATCCAAGGTCGAGGTCAATTTTTGGGGGGAAGTCCTCAAGCGGCCTCAGCATTCTACTCCCATCTTTACACTTGCACCGCGCTGATGAGGCCAATAGCCAGAAACACGTGTCCGCGGTTTGTCCTCCTTTTTTGAAGTGTTGTGTCCACGAATTGTTTTATCTGTTGATATCAGCAGGTTGATACACCGCTTCCGGAGAACGACTTCAATGATTATTTTGTTGACATTGTAGATTATCTCATTTCATCTCTTCCTGAAGTAAATTATGAAGCGACAGATTTCTTGAAAAATCTTAAAACACCAGTTAACTCCTTCGTATTGTTCCCCACGACCCCGAGGGAAGTAATGGAAAGTATCCAGTCTCTCAAGAACTCCAATTGTTCGGACTATTTTGAGCTTAATAGTAGAATCATCAAAAGTATTGCCAATATGATTGCGTACCCATTATCCCTATTAATAAATGAGTGTTTTTCANTTTTCATTATTATGTACACTGTTCTGTTATACAAGCATTGTGATGGTTTTATTTGTATATATGACGTCATATTTATAAATTTTTGTGTTTTGACTTGCTACAAATATCTAATCAAATGTATCACGTAGCCAATAAACTACTCTATTCTATTCTATTCTATTCTATTCTATTCTATTCTATTCTATTCTAATGTTTACATGAAAGTAGCTGTTTCAGGAAGGCTTTTCCTTCCAATTTGTGTCTGAAAGTTACTTCTTTGCATGATCTTCACATCTATGTATAAAGCTACTTCTTTCAAAATTGATTACTTTCTTTCTCTCTTTGGAAGTTTCCCACATTTCTTTCAATCCCACATGGATTGATTTCTACGCAATAAAATTTGAGGGCTTCTGAATCATTTTCAAATTCTATACAGGGTAAGGAACATATCATCGATCACGTAATCTGGGTTGTGAGTGAGAGGAACAATATATTATTCACGAAATTTGAATGTTTTGCTCGATACTATATCCATTCGTAAACTTTGAAATTTGTAAGAATGTCCTCAAAAATTTTATAATGAAAATTTTTTCGTAGGTAATGTGTTCATTTTTTTTTGTTAAATGATTGACAATTTGGATATTCGAGTTTTGAATAGTCAATTAGAGATTTGGTTTTATATAAATTATTGAAAGTTGAAAATTCCCTCGTTATATGTTCAGCTGAATATTTCAGTTCGTTGTTTTCAGGAATTTCAGGGTTATCGAAGTTTTCAGAAGATTCAGGGATTTCAGAGTTATCTGAAGTTTCTTCTTTTGTATCTTGAATCATTTCTAGGTCTGAATCTCCGTTTGTGGGTGAGATGAAAGTACCTTTTGGGACCGATTGACTTGTTGAAAACAAGTCATGCTTTCGTGGAATCAATTTTGATTCTTGAAAGTACGTCAGCGTTTCTGTTGATTTTTTCTGCTTTGTATATGATTTCATAATCATATTCCTCAAGTTTCAGATGACATGTAGCAGGTCTGCTGCAAGGGTCCTTAATGGAGAATAGTAGTAGTAGATATGAGCCAGTTCTTAGCCTCCCCCCACCAATATGACGTATTATTTGTTTTTTTATGTTGTTGTTTAGTGAAGTCAAGGCGATGTGACTCTGAAGTGTCTGGTGCATGGATCGTTCAGATTTTTTTTCATATGGGATTGTGTGTGTGTGTGTGTG